GTCCTGGCCGAAGACCAGCTGGCCCAGGTGGGAGATCCCCCCTGCCCTGGGCTTGTCCCCCCCGTCCCCTTCTCCATCCGTGCCCAGGGCATTGTCCGTGCCCGGTGCCTCATCCCCAGTGCTCTCTGCTCCTGGTTTGTTCTCAGTGCTCTCCTCGACTCCCTTGCAGATGTCCAAGCAGCTGGACATGTTTAAGACCAACCTGGAGGAGTTTGCCAGCAAACACAAGCAGGAGATCCGGAAAAACCCCGAGTTCCGGGTGCAGTTCCAGGACATGTGTGCCACCATCGGGGTGGATCCCTTGGCATGTGAGCAACAGGCCCTGGGCTGAAGGACAGGGTTCATCTCACTCTTCCCAAACAGCTCGTGGTGGAGCTGGGGGAAAGTTTGTCCTTGAGGAAAACTGCCGGTGCTTTGATTCCTGGGGCTTGGGAATTGCTGGGATGCACCTTTGGCTGGGGGAAAACGGGTGGAGATAACAAAAAATCCGAGTCCTCCCAGTGGGGTTTGTGAGCTGCCTGCTTCACAATAAGAAGGATGTTTTTCCCAGTGTTCCAACCCTTTTTCCCTCTCTCCCTTCCCAGCTGGTAAAGGATTCTGGTCGGAGATGTTGGGAGTTGGAGACTTTTACTACGAGCTGGGAGTGCAGATCATTGAAGTTTGTTTGGCTCTGAAACACAGGAATGGAGGTGAGGATCCCACTCTGCTTCCTGGGAGACACCACTGACCAGGAGCACTTTTCCCTGTGGAAAATGGGTTGTGTCTCTCAGATTTCACTAATCACTGGGGTGATAATTTTGTCCTTGTTCTGCTTCTACAACCTGTTGTGGCTCCACCACTCTATTGATCCAGAAATCACCATCCCTGCCCTGTCTAGGGAACTAAAATATAACTCAGGAGCATGGAAAGGAGCAGGGCTCAGTGGCAATCCTGAAGGAGTATGAGCCTGCCTGGAGCCTGAGATTGGCTCTGAAGGATCCCAGCAATGTCCAGAAGGTTGGAATACCAGATAGAAGTGCTTAATTAAAAGACAGTAGGTATTCTTCACTCCAGATGGGCAATCTGAGACCAGGGATGGGCTGAAGCAAAGCCAGTGGAACTCCCACATTTTGTGGGAGGAGGAAGCAGCTGCCTGGGAACAAGGCTGGGTCATTGTCCCCCCCAGGGCTTCCCAGTGGGAACAATGAACAGACACTGGGGGGCTCTGGCAAAGCACAGAGGAGCCCTGGCTGCTCTCTCTGCAGTGGTTTTGTTGCCATGAATGATGTTTTCCTGTCCCCTCTTGTTGCCTCCCAGGGCTGATAACACTGGAAGAACTTCACCAGCAAGTGCTGAAGGGGAGAGGGAAGTTTGCTCAGGATGTCAGCCAGTGAGTGTCTGCATGTCACAGGGAAGGGGGATCAAGCAGGATTTGGGGAAGAAAAGGGGGTGACTGGTTTGGGGACTCCAAATTTGACTTCCATGTGATTCACAATTAGTGACTTAGCACCCTGCTGCTGCCTGATATCCTTTTCTCTGGGAGCCCTGAGGCTTCAAGGACTGTTGCCCTGAGCTGGGGACAATTTTTTCCCTGCAAACCCAGCCCCAGGCTGCTGGAGCTGCTGTGGCCTCCTCAGCTGGGAGGAAGGGACTGAGAAATGTCACTACAGCAGCAGATTTTAGGACACAACTCAAACTTAATTGGGGCTGAACCTTCAAGTTTAGCACTTGAGGCTGCTGGAGCTGCAGTTGTGTCTCTAATTCGAGTCTGCAGGGGGGCCCAAATACCCAAACTCCTTCTAAATTGCTTTACTGCAGCTGCTGATAACCTGAAACTGCAGCTCCGAGGAGCTCTGACAGCTCCTGGCTTCTGCTGGAGTCTCCCTCATTTCCAGGTCTGTGGGGGCAGTTCCAGGGGCTCTAACTGACCTCTGCTCCTCAGGGACGACCTTCTCCGGGCCATCAAGAAGCTGAAGGTCTTGGGGAATGGCTTTGGGATTATCCCTGTTGGTGGAACGTTTCTGATCCAGTCTGTGCCAGCGGAGCTGAACATGGATCACACGGTTGTCCTGCAGCTGGCAGAGGTACCAGGCCAGCTTTACACACCCCTTGGGGCTTCCCTGGCAGGGAACTGGGCTTAGACTTGCAGGCAAAACTGTCCCCACTCTGCTAAACTAAGGATTTAAGTTTTGGCTCGAAGCTGACAGTGTTTTAACTCTTTTTTTTTCCCCAGAAAAAGGGCTTTGTGACAGTCAGTGAGATCAAGTCCAGCCTGAAGTGGGAGACGGAACGTGCAAAGCAAGTGCTGGTACGTGGGGAGGCCTCGTGTGCCAGGGGAGCTCAGTGCCAGAGGGGCTGTTCCTGGGGCACACACTGGGCTGGGAATGCAGCACCAGGGATGCCCAGGGATCCTGAGCTGCTGGAATTGCAAAGGCAGAGCACACCCCGTGTAAACACGGACTGGGGAAAGCGGAATCCCCAAAGCTGCAGATACTCCCGTGGCTTCACTGATTTCATGGCATGGGTTGGGTTGGGAGGGACCTCAAAGCCCATCCAGTGCCACCCCCTGCCATGGGCAGGGACACCTTCCACTACCCCAAGTTCTCCAGGTTCCATCCAGCCTGGCCTTGGACACTTCCAGGGATGGGGCAGCCACAGCTTCTCTGGGCAACCCGTGCCAGGGCCTCCCCACCCTCCTTCCCAGTATCCCACCTAACCCTGCCCTCTGGGAATCTTTGAAGTCAGTAAAATTTTGTGAGCTCATGAACACAGGAAGATGTCTGGACTATATTTCTCCTGGTCAAGTTGAGTAAAAGTTATCCCATCCCAAGTTCTACCCCCTCCCTTCCCTGGGATAAATGTGGGGTTGGGCTCTCCTGGGAATGCCCCCTGAGCCACTGAAGTGTCACTCACAGTTTCTGCTCTGTTTGCACAGGAACACTTGCTGAAGGAAGGAATGGCCTGGCTGGATGAGCAGGCACCAGAAGAACCTCAGTACTGGCTCCCTGCTCTCTTTACAGAGCTGTACTCTCAGGAAATCACTCCAGAGGAAGCCAAGGAGGCAATTCCTTGACTGCTCCCTGTTCTGTGCCTGTCTAGAATCCTCGGGAGGTTCTTTGCATATCACCTGAAACACAGGGACAGTGGACTTGAAATAAAAGGGTTTTGTAAAAAGTGTCTACCTTGAAAATCTTCTAGGATTCACTCCTGCTGGCTTACCTCTGGATTTGCTCCCTGGCTGGGGGTGGAAATGCCACTTGCTACTGGAAACTAAATGTCACAGCAAGAGGAAAATTATCTGGAGTCTTAAAGGATGCAAATGGGATTCTGGCTAAAGAAGTGGGGAAGCTCTTGTGTAGCTCTGCTCTGGGAAGGAGTTGTTGGTTGGTTGGTTGTTGTTCCTCTAAGGAATCACCACAGGCTCCATTCTGCCAAAACAAACTTTATTGCACAAAAAAAAAAAAAAAAAAAAAAAAAAAAAAAAAAAAAAAAAAAAAAAAAAAAAAAAAAAAAAAAAAAAAAAAAACCTCAAACAACCAGTGTAGGTGTTTCCAAAAAAAAAAAATAACCTGACGCCACACGCTCCGGCTTTTCTAGCGCAGGGAGTACCTTCGGGAGGAGCCTGGCACCAGCTGGGCTTGGGCGAGCGTGGAGTCCCCTCAGTCAGCGTTTCCCCAGAGCAGGGAGGGAGGCAGGGGGTCCCCGTGTTCCTGCTCTGGCAGTGGGGGGGTGTGGAGTCTGTCGGGGCTGTGGGCAGAGCAGCCCCCGCTCTAAGCTTTGGAGCAGCCCTGCGGGTCCGTCTCTGTCTCGGAGGAGCTGCTCTCAGAGTCCAGCTCCGGGGGCTCCTGCTGGTGCTTCTCCTGCACCTTCTGCCGGATCCCCTGCAAACGCACCAGCAGGGACTGGTAGTCAAAGTGGCCTCGCTTTTCACCGAAAGGATCCTGAAAGAAAAGCAGGGATGAGCCAGTAAACACAGCCCATCGTCCCTCTGGCAAGGGCTGTTCCAGCTGTGTAATAACTGTGCATAAAAACTGTCCTTTTCACCGAAAGGATCCTGAAAGAAAAGCAGGGATGAGCCTGTTAACACAGCCCATC